ATGTTACTGTAGTTCTAGACTAAATGTGAATGTGCGTTAATTCATCCCACTCACAAAAAACTGATTTAGTATTCATCAAAATGAATTAAAACAGTGAAATGCAAACTCAGAATATGACAATAATTAAATATGTCAAATAACACAAATGTATCTAATCCTATTTTATTAACCAATGTCTTTGCTGCTGACCTTTGATGATCCAGTTCAACCGTACTAATAAGCAAAAATGACTTTAGAGAAATGAACAATTGTGCTTAGTTTTTTTATTGCTGAAGAGTGTTTCTTCTCCTGCGTTCTACTGTACAGATGTGAATTTACTTTTCCTTCAGCCTGAGGTTTATTCATTACACTTTTTGGTGTGAAAGGGCTTTTATATTTGCTATAAATAGAACTTCTTATATTAAAAACAATCAAGCCCTGCTTATATTTACAAAAGTAACGCAAAAGTAATACAACGCATTACTTTCCATTAAAAGTAACGCAATTAGTTACTACTTCTTATATTAAAAACAATCAAGCCCTGCTTATATTTACAAAAATAACGCAAAAGTAATACAACGCATTACTTTCCATTAAAAGTAACGCAATTAGTTACTTTTTTAATAGGGAGTAACGCAATATTGTAATGCGTTACTTTTAAAAGTAACTTTCCCCCACACTGGTTACTACACTAGACAACTCACACTCAGGGGGAGTTTACTACATATTATTACTATTATCTACTCTACTACAATATAAAACAATCTAACAATGCAGTTATATATGCATTATTTGGCCATGTTATAATCATATTCATGTAATCCGGTTGAGCAAAGTTACAGTTGTTGCTGTCATATTGATAATACTTCAGCGCGTGTGTTTTAACCTGTTCTTTCTTCAATTCTAGGTACTGAAACCAAGACAATGCTGATTAAATGATATTATAACAGTCGCAAAGAACATTTCAATCTCTCACCCGTCTTCTGGCGTGAAAATAAACGCGACTTTTCTCGTCGTTTTCAAAACAATCCGCGCCCGGAAGCTCAGCAGTTACACCGGAAGTGGCGTCAGATAAACGCGTCGTCACAACTACAAAATAGCGGTATGAAATTTCCATTGTTCCAAGCTTACTTAAGAAATTAATTTCGAGTTCCGAAATATGCATTTCAAATTCTCTCAAAAGGCTAAGTATATACTGGTTATATTGTGCGGTCCGTCGTTCTCCCTTCATTGAGTAGTTTGTAATGCTGCGCCATCTGGTGTTTGTTTGAGCGCTGGCGGATGCAGGACGTAATTATAATATAATATAGTAATATAATAACCATTATATATAGATCAATGGCTGTTTCCTGCATTTTCATCTGACAAACATGTCTTATTTGACATAAGGGGGAAAAATGCAATACATTAGGAACAATCATGTCTTTTTGGACAACATTTTTGGAAGTAGGCCTATAAGAAAGTATAATTTCATGTCTGGCCTATTTTGCATTTGTTATCAAAAATTGACATATTTCTTTCTCTCTCTCTCTCTCTCTCTCTCTCTCTCTCTATATATATATATATATATATATACACACACACACACACACACACACACATTTAGAAGAGCTAAAATAATATATATATCAATGTAAATGCAGAGTATTTTTAAAGCTCGTCTCATTTTCCTAGCTAAATACTGGAAATGTCAGCCGGACTGTTATTTTCAGTGCAAGATAGTCATGCAGATCACCATAAAGGATTTCATCAGCATTAATGTAGTGGTTTTTTCCCCTCTTTAAATCAAGTTTTTGATGCAGTATATTAAAATATTCATATATGCAATATTCAGCCACACTGTAAAAAAATAAATCCGTAAAATAACAGAAAAGGTACTGGCAGTGGCAGCTCGTTACGCACGAGATTATGCATTAATTTTACAGACATTTCTGTTAACTCTAAAACACAGTGCAATGACGTTTAAATTCAAAATACTTGTAAAACAGCTGTAAAAAATAAATACAGAAAAAATCCTTCAAATTACACAATATAGTGTGCCCTATTTTTACAGATTATTTTTTTTGAGTGCATTTAAATTTTCATATCAGGCTGTTTGTGGTCATCTGGTCTTTCCACTAAATTAATCTCATCTAAAATGTATTGTTTACATTTGATCCTTCCACTTTTTTACAAATACCCTGTTGAAAGAAAAAAGCCTGTGGGCTAGTTTTAGAGTGTTTTAAGTAGTTTTGAGCTGGTCGGGCTTGGGAGACTAACTGGCTGACGACTTAAACCAGCTTGCAAGAACAACAAACCTTTATACCTTTTAACCTTTAGCTCGTTCAAGCTGTTTTCTTTCAGAAAGGTAATGTCAAACACTTTAAGTTTATATTTCCGATACTTTAATTTTTTAAAAATCCCTTTACAACAACTTCATGCCCTCTTAGGCCTGTGGAACAAATAAACAAGCGAGAACAAACGTAATACTATTGCTGCTTAGCTACACATAAGCACAATTTTTCCTTATTGAAGGCAACATTAATGGTGACAAATGTGTTTCAATTACATACAGTTTTTAAAATGTACAAATTGTTCATCTGTAACATTTGAATGACAATAAGTGAGACATCAAAACCGGATCACACATAAACAATGACTGAGCGTAAAGGTATCAGTGATTATGAACATGTTATCAGTCCCGTACTATTATCACTATAGTTCAAGGACACCATATCTTCAGCTGCTACAAGAAGTCGAATCTCTGCAACCTTTTAGTACAAATCAAATGTTTGCATGTCACACATTTGGATACAATACATTTTCGGTCAGTTTCTTGAAAAAAAGAAAGAAACAAAATACAGGTCATCCAGGTTGACTAACCACACCTGTATAATTCAAGCACATAGAGGATGTTGTCAAGACATAATAAACGTCCACTTATCAATAAATACACATCAATAAAAAAACACCTCAACAATTGTTAAGTAATTCCATTACCAAATGTAATGAGATGTAATCTTGACTAGGCCAGACACACCAATGATTGATCAAGCAATGGCGTGAGTTGGAGGCGGGACTACCTGCTCATCCAAACGCTATATTTTTTTTAAAGGGGTCATCGGATGCCCATTTTCCACAAGTTGATATGATTCTTTAGGGTCTTAATGAAAAGTCTGTAACATAGCTTAGTTAAAATTTCTCAATGGTAGTGTAAAAAAACACCTTTTTTACCCTGTCAAAAACAGCTCTTTTCAGAGTGTAACACAGTTTGTAGTTCGGGAAGAAGGAGGCGGGAACCGGCGAACATTCAAACTAAACTTTAATAATAAAATAAACACAAAATAGGCGGTGGTTTTGGTTCTGTTTGTGAATAGCGCGACAGCCCCTCACGGACGACTCGCGCTATTCACAAACAGAACCAAAACACAAAATAAAGTCCAGGCCTGGTCCTCTCTCGTCTTTCACTGTCGTAGCTCCTCCTTTTATCCTTCCGGAGCTCCTCCGTGGGACTCGGCCCCGCCCCCGCCCCCACTCGTCATATACCCCCATCGCCCCTCGCAGGCCGGGGGGGTACTCCCGAGACTGTGCTCTACTCCCCCCCCCCTCCCCCCCCCGG